GCGGGGCGGGGGCGCGGGGCGGGGGCGGCCGGCGGAGCAGCTGCAGCTGCAGCTGCAGGAGGAGATGTGCGAGCTGGGCATCCGCCTCAAGGAGCTGGAGCTGGCGGCGCTCGTCGGGGACGGCTTCGACGCCAGGCAGTGTGCGTCCCGCCCGGGAGCGGCCGGCGCTGCTGGGCTGACACCCCCTGCCAACCCCCCCAGCGCAGCCCGGCCGCAAGGGCAGCAGGTCCCTCCATCAGTAACCCCCCTGAAAGGATGGTCTGTGCCCCGCGGCAGCGCAGGGGACACGGCAGGGCTGGGCGAGCATAGGGGTGCGGGGAGCAAAGGCACTGTCCCAGCTCATCTCCCCCGGCTCAGGGCACAAATTAAGGGAGGCGTAAGAATTAGGGATGTAGTTACTGTTGCGCAAAGGCACGGATGCCACCACCCCCCCACACACACACCCCCGAAGTGTTAACAAGAAAACAACGCAGAATCAGAGGGAGTTTGTACGTGCAAAATGTGTCCGCTACTAATGAGACCCTGCGGTTGTAAATCGCATCGACGTGGAATAAACGCCACTGACGGCCACAGATAGATGGAGGGCGGGGGGAATCCGAAACAAGCTAAACTTTGGCATTTTAATTTTATAACCCGTTGGCCGTGAAGGAAATGCAAGAAATAAAATAGTTCATCAGGTCGTGATACTTTAAGAGTTCCAGCAGGAGGCCAACAGCTGTAAGGATATGATGCTCCTCATTTCCTTCAAGGCCACGGGCTGCTAGTCAGGAAACCTTCCGCAGTGCAAAGGTTACAAGAACACAGAAAAAATGTGCATCAGATATACACATTCGAAGGAAGATCTCAAAGACATTCCGATAGGTAGCTTGCATATATTTACTTTTCAGAACAGGAAATTAATAGTTTTTTCCCTTTGTTATAGCAATACATATCTTTTTTTCCATTTTAATACCTATTGTTTTGAGAAACTTTAGTTTTCAGATATTTGCTAGACAAGTTATTGTAAGGAATATTATTAGTTTGCTTAATACATTATTTGATTTTCTCAAAAGTATTAATGACAAAATGAATGACAAATTATGTTTTATTCCTGTTTAGATAAACTTCTGAAGGCACTGGAAGAAAAGAAGATACAAAGCATGAAAGCACTGCAGAACCTGAAATAATGGCCACCAACACGATGAGGATTATTTCAGCTGAATGTTCTGCCACTGTATCTCTATGGAGTATTTTAATGGACCTTCAATAATGGGTTGCTACTTATTAGATGCTATTCTCCTAGCAAATTAAAAAATATAGTATATTGTTGCATTTTTTTGTTTATTAATTGTCTAGTACTGATAACACTATTGTATATTTTACCTTTTTTTTTCTCCAGTCACTATGTGCAGACAGGATGCATAATACTGTCTTCAAAACCACTGTGAAATTAACACTGCTGTTGTCAGGATTCCCAGCAGTCCACTGATGGTGTTCAAGATATGTGTGGCCAGGAAACGCAGTAACTGCAATACAAAATATGGTTGGGTTGGTTTTTTTTTTTCCCTCTTTTAGTTCTAAGTACATTAAGTGCAAGTTTGAGTCAATAGGTATGGTCAAAGGTCTACACCTCTAAGCCAGCTCTAAAAAACTACTTTCATGTTAGCATAAAAATCTTTTGTTACAATCACAGTCTTTAGTTTACCACAAAATTACAGAAGTTATGGCTTGAGTTAGTTTTTGACAGAATAGTCATATAACATTGATTTTCAATTAACATTTTATTCTTTTAGGAATAACTGTGCTTAGGCTAAAGCAGTAGTTTTGAAGTGACAACATCCTTACGTTTGGAAAGGACATCCTTTCATGAGGAAAAATTAAAGATCTGGGTAACATTTACCATTCAAAAGTGGTGCCATACATGGCATGGGGAATAACCTCACCAAGTGGTAAACAGGCTCATCAGACTGATAAAAAGATACCGATTACTTTTTCCTATTCTAATTCTAGAGCAGTAGGTGGCAGCATGAAATAATAAAATTATGACCCTGAAGCTGTCATATTTTGGCAAACAGCTTTATTTTTAAGTCTAATATTTTAATCTGCAGTTTTCTAAACTGTATTCCAGTTGCTCAACTGTGAAGCATTTTAACACAATACGATATCAAATTTTATTTCCTATTACTGCTTATTACAGGATTCACTCTTTTACTATCTCAGTCTTTCCAGTCAGATTCTGATCTACTGTACACAGAGTTTATATTAAAAAAAAAAAAATCTAATTTATAACTCCTATTTCTCAATCATCAAACTATAACAATCAGCTTTTATCAGAGCACTAGGAGATCTTAAATGGAATCTTACCCTCTGCACTGGCTGTTGCCAGCTGGTGTCCCTGCTGACATGGCAATCCATGGCTTCATCTGCTGATCAATGGGCTTTTTAACAAACCAAAGCCTGAGCAGGGTGGTGAGACCGGGCTCTGTCCAGTGGTCTGGTGTTCCTCAAGCAGGGCATGGAGAGGGATTTGGGATGGTGGAGGTGGGAAGCCCAGGGGCAGGACTGGGGACAAGGCTTCTTTTAACACAGGCTCAGGGAGGGTCTCACTCAGGGTTCCTGCAGCCTCAGGGTGAGCCCCAGGCCCTGGCAGCAGCTTGTACACAGGGTCAGGATCAGTAGTGCCCACTGTGACCTTCTTTTTCTTTTACACTCAATCATCCATTTCAATTCCAACACCCTTCCTCTTTAGCTGGCTGAAGCCAGGTCTTTAAGCCCACCTTGGCACCATTTAATTGCTACTTAGTTCTTTGGAGTCTAATTAATAACACCATGCTCCTGGCTAAACAGTTCTGTTTTCACTAGTTTGCATATTTTAAGCTGTTTCACTCCAGACAGCACCACAAGTCACTTCCAAAGTGGGCTTCTTAAACGAGGTATTTTTACACCTGATCAGGAAATGCTCACAGAACCACCCATGATTTCTCTCTCTTTCCAGGCACATCTTAGAGGCTGAGGCTGTAAATAAAAGGTAAATCTATGTGCCTAAAGAACAAAATTATCACTGGAACACCTTGGAAATCTGGACTGAGATGCAGAATGAAGATAAAAATTCTCCCAAAGAGTTTTGAGGCTAAACCTGAAATGGTTAATTACTGTGAAAATGCAAATGGTTAAACTGAAATAGTTGATTACTATGAAATTGAGAATCGTGTCAGTGTCTAAACTGAGTATCAGAAAACAAACTTGGATTAAACAAAAACGGCCAAGACATAAAGGCCTTCAAAGGCTTTGTGCAGAAGTAAGAGCTTTAAAAATCAAATTAGGTAGCAGAGAAACTATCTTCATTTTTCCAAATCCACAGAATAATTTCATTCCTTAACCACTCTAAGTTTTCCAAGGTTATTGCAAGGGCCTGCAAGAATTTCCATTACATGCAATCACTGCTTCCTAACTGTTACTTCTCAGCTTTTACCAAGTCTTTCACTTTGCATCCAGCTCTCATCAGCTGTTATTCGCTCGGGTTTTCTTGGCTTAAACAGAGCTCCTTTTCCCAACACACAGTTTAAATCTTTTTCCATCTGTTGTTCAGTTTTTCATATGGCCTTTATGTTAAAGCAACACTTCATGTTTAATTACTGGGCGATAATGCAAGGAATGATGTCGGTTAATATGTAAGCTCAGTTAAAGTTGCCTGGGGACACACATCTACTGGAAAAAGTCATTTGGTTCATGTGCCAGAACAAGGCAGAGTGGTCTCCCTTGGCCAGCATCACCCACAGCACTCTTCTATCAGGATACTTTGGCCAAAGCCCTTTCACTGAAGCATCTCCACATTCCAAGATGATCATTAAAGAATGGTGGAGAGGATCACTGGATGTGTGATGAAGTAATACCTTTCTGTGTGTGTGAAGTAGCACCTAGAAAAGGAATGTAGAGACTGCAGGAGAAACATGGGACACATGATGTAATATTTCTGCCCGAAAGTAACCACTCAGGCAGAGTGGTTTGTACTCTCAGTTGGAACTAGTAACACACTCACATGCACGAATTCAGGAAGGGAGTAATAAGCTTGTCCATACCTGGACAAACAACCACGTTATTAATACATAATGGCACATATGCTGATTTTTATTTGTTCCTAAACATTTTATTTACCTTTATTTTTCTTCTCTGTTTCCACCTGACCTTGTTATATCCAGTAATTTGCTCTCATCTTTGCGGGCTTATGGGTTCATCTGAAAGCTAATGTGTTTATAATTTCTTTTGTAACAACTAAGCATATATTAAACAGAATAGCATTCTTACTGCATTTTCTTTTATTCATAATGCTTGTGACATTCATTTTTTTAATTGTTTCTGTTCTCTCAGACTGCTCAGGTGTGGTTAAACCTGATATTTAGATGCTGGCATAGCTCAGACCTCTTTCATATAGCGGCCTTGTGACTCAACAA